ACTCAGAACTGGTGCGGACAAGGGGAATCCGACTGTTTAATTAAAACAAAGCATTGCGATGGTCCCAACGGATGTTGACGCAATGTGATTAATGTCCAGTGCTCTGAATATCAAAGTGAAGAGATTCAACCAAGCGCGGGTAAACGGCGGGAGTAACTATGACTCTCTTAAGGTASCCAAATGCCTCGTCATCTAATTAGTGACGCGCATGAATGGATTAACGAGATTCCCATTGCCCCCATCTACCATCCTGCGAAACCACAGCCAAGGAAACGGGCTTGGAAGAATCGGCGGGGAAAGAAGACCCTGTTGAGCTTGACTCTAGTTCGACTCTGTGAAATGACTAGAGAGGTGTAGAATAAGTGGGAGCCTTACAGGGCAAGTGATATACCACTACTTTTAACTTTATTTTACTTATTTCGTGACGTGGAGCCGGAGCTCTGCTCCTGCTTCTCGATCCAAGGTGCAGGCCCTCGTGGCACATCTGTCCGATCCAAGCGAAAGACCTTGTCAGGTGGGGAGTTTGGCTGGGGCGGCACATCTGCCTGACTTCCCGTAAACTTTTCACTCCCACACCGCGGCGTGATCTGAGTCGCTGGGCACAGAAGCTGCTAGGCCTTTTCTCAGTTTGTTTCGTCCCTTTTCTTTTTTTTTCAATGTATTTTATTTTTTCCCCCGCCCCTTCCCCTTATCCCTTTGTGTGTGGAAGGGACGGAGATGGGACGGACTTTTAAGGTGTCGAATTTTGTGGGGGCAGCAGATACCGCGCACTACTAGTCGGGCGTAGGAACGGCCCAAAGAAAAGGGGGTCTCCCAGGATCGAAGGTCCAGAGGCATCTTATTGAGAGCGGAAAGGGATGAGGTCCCGAGGGGGACATCGGCATTGGGGTCTGTCCAGTCAGCTTGCTGGAAAGGGACATGTGCAGGTCCCTCGGCGGATGGCTCAGTGAGCACCCTCCGGATGTGCCAAACAGTCGGTGGTTGGCGGTTCGGAGTCCCGTTTGCACTCTTATAGGGGMCTGCGTGCTTAGCAGCCCCCTTGTAGTGGACGAGGGCGACGTTCCGGGAGTGGGCTTTGGGACCTTGTACTTGAGTTACGAGGGACTCTCTGCACACGCTTTGGGTGGTTTCCAGTTTGCGAGGGAYGGGCGAGTCGTGCTTTGGTGGTCGAGCGAACATTTTTGCAGCGCCGTTCGGGTCCATGGTCCTCTCTCTCGGAGGGCTTATTTCACGACAGCTCGGTCGTCGTTGGCGGCGCTCGCAGCGGTCGAGGCTTTCCTATGCCGTGGTGCCGGGTTGTGGATCGTTGCGTTCACCCTCGCTCATCGTCTTGYGATGATTGGCGCCTGATCGCCGACGGCGGTCCGAAAGGCGGTCGTTTGCAGGGTGTGGAGGCGGAGGTGCCCGTCACCGGCTTTCAGCTTCGGCACCATCATCCCGTAGGTTACGGGGAGAGCTGTTGCGGCTCTGTTGTGGTGTCGTCTTCGTGTCCGCACTCACAACGGCGGGTTCTGTTTGTGTTGAGGGGGTGTCACGACTTGGTGAGGACACTCTGCGCTCTTCGCCATCCTAGCGGCGCCATTGAGCGGTGGCGCAGGTGGCCTCGTCCATGCACGCGCTGCTTACCGTATGCGAGGGCGGAGACTTGTGGGATGCGTGATGCACCCTCCAACGGCGTCGCGAGGCTGGGCCCGTCAGCCGCTCGACTTTTTGGAATGCGCGCTTGTGCCCATCGTGTCCCCCATCCTGTGGTCTCGGTATGCTGCACACCATGACGCATCGCGTTGCATCGTGGTGGTGGTGCCCGCGGCAACGGCGGATGTGGACCTAGGGGGGAGAGGGGTTGTGTTCCTTTTGCGCCCCGGTGCACAGGTGGAGGCTTTCTGTCCGTCCGGGCGTGTTGGAAGCGTGGTGCATTCGTTTCTCTCTTCACTCGCGTTTCTCGATGGAAAGATGAGGCTGCGCACTTCGCTCTCGGTACGTTTTGGGCGGGCGGTGGCATCCGGCTGTGGGCCGAAGCTGTCGGTGGTTCCTTCGCGCGCGCCGTTGTTCAGGTAGTGTGGTTAACTTGCGATCTCTGGGTGTGGTGTGGGCGGGTGCTGTTTGCAGCCAATCTCTTTGGCGGGTGCGGCGGGCTGTGTTGGATTTTGCGGTACCTTGCCATTGGAGATGGTCTACGGAGGGAAGTTCACCTGCTCGACCATCGCTTCTTGCGGCTGCTCGTCACACCCGCTACCTGGTTGATCCTGCCAGTAGTTATATGCTTGTCTCAAAGACTAAGCCATGCACGTCTAAGTGTGAACACTTTGCACCACGACGACTGGCGGTCAACGACAATCAAGGCCATGAGGACACTTGTATAGTGGTTCCACGACGACCGGCGGTCAACGACAATCAAGGTCATGAGGACACTTGTATGCAATATGCCTTCGAGGTGCTGGTGGTGGAAATGGTCAGTGAGCCCCGAGGGAGCGATGGCTTGGGTCAGAGGTTTCCTCAAGGAGGATTGAATCAGCTCCAGCAGGGAGAAGAGGTAAGAGCCCCGGAAGAGGAAGTGAGGCTAGCACTGCAGCAGGGAAGGGACGGGCAACAGGACAGGGCTACCCGGGTGGAGAGCTCGCTGGGGTTGTATGGAGATGTGCGACCCCAGGGTAGGATTAACTCCCACCAACTTATGTCCTCACAGCGGCAATCGGCTCAGCCTTCTGCAACATGCCTTGTGGTTACCTCTATGCCGGCAGTCCCCATGGTAGGGGCATCGCTGCTCCCAATGACATCTCGGCCATCTGCTCCGATTGGCCCCTCACGGCCCTCGCATTTGTCAGTGATACGTAGCACGAGCTCGATCTCCATCTCTCGAGTTAATATAGAAGCATGTCGTTCGCTTACGTTTCAGGGGACGACGGGTGGGTGGTTGATGGATGAAGCCGGCCCCTCCTCTCGGGTGCCTGCGGGAGGATGGTTTGTTGAGGAATCGGCTACACAAGAAGATATGGTGGGGCCGCCAATCCAGGAGATCGATCCTGTGGGCGAAATTGCTATTCCCCCTCGAGAGGGTAAAGTCGATTGGCCTTCTAGGCAAGTAGCCACGGGGTCGGTAAGGGATGGCACGTGTGATAAGAAAAGGCTCCAGGAGGAATTTGGTGAGGGATCTTCAGCCAGGAAGCATTCTCGGGCTCGGAGGACGGCTAGGCAAGGGAAAGCTAAGGGGAGGATGGATCCTAAAGGGAAAGTAAGCAGCCAATGGTACAGGGCTCTTCTAGTTCGGGAGAGGATGAACCACCGAGGAAAATGAGAGAAGTCTGTAAGGGACGGGTGCTGGTGATCCCAGGGACGGATGGAGGACAGACAAGAGAAGGGAGAATGCTTCGTCAGCCTGTGCAGAACATGGGCCCCCCTCCTGAGGGGCGGGCTACTAGCCGGCCAGCGGGCCTCACGCGACTTGACCGGGTTATTGAGGTAAGTGACGAGGAAGGCTCGAATGCGGTGCCGGTTCAGTCGGCGTCGTGCCAGGAGATTAGGGCACCACTGAGAACTTTGCACGGTGAGAATTCTGCGTTGCCTGATCTGCCTCAAGGGCGGGTGAGTCTATCATCCTCGGATCCTGCACGGCGTGCGCAGGAGGAAGGCCGGGAGGAGGAACCGGAGCCCAAAACGGAAAGGAGGAACATGGATCCACGAGAGGGAGAGGTTTTTAGCGATAGGTCGCACATCCAACTATTGGATGGTGTTTTGGAGGATATGCTGTCAGAAGGGCGCTTATATTTGGTACCCTTAGTTTTCATGGAGACTGAATCGGTTTTGCAGGTACTTACGGTGTCGGCGTCGGCAGGGGTGCACAACGCAAGGTTTCCGATGGTTGCTTTGTCCGCTACGCCTACACAGCAACAAGCTCTTTTGGTAGCTCAAGAATGGGTGGGGGCTGCGGCCGAGGTAGCGATGGTCCCAGGGCTCTCTGCCATTCGGTTGTTGGCCCCTACCAACCATGGGTTTCCGGTGGGACTGTATTGCTTCTTTGTACGGGCAAAATATGAGGGGTCACAGGGGACCGCTTTGCCAGCCCCTAGCTTTGGTTGGGGGAATCTTGCGTTGGTTCTGGATTTTGCGGAGGCGGAAGAATATGTGGCTGTCACAGCTATGTCAGCACCATTACGGATCCTTAAGGATCTTGATGAGCGTATGCCGGCAGCTAAACGGTTCTCAAGTACTAGATTTTGGTTGTCGATCGACGAATGGATGTATGGACCGTAGCGATGTGTTCAGCCACCGCGGGGCTCAGCATCAAGGACTTCGTCGTTAAGGACTGGGCAAACGGAAGCCGTTAACAGGTGGAATGGTCCGGTGGTTCCGCAAAGAAAATCGAGTATGTCGGTTCGGGTGTCGTGATCAGACTGATCCCGGGGGAGTGGTCGGGGGTAATGTTCGACTTTCTGATATGGTAAGTGAAATGGGTTGAAGGATTGGTGGGGATGGCACCCCTGTCACTGTTTGTGTACAGTTGTTTATGTTCAAGGTAGGTTCATTGAATGTTAGAGGTCTGGGCCAACGATCAATTAGAACCAAAGTCAAAGAGCTTAAGAGGATTGTCAATAGGACTAGGGTTTCAGTGTTGTGTCTTCAGGAGACGAAGGTTTCAGAATCCAGGATGAGGAGGGAGCAGTTGTCACTCCCGGAACATGGCTTTGGAGGCTCGTTTCAGTTATGGGCCCTGGCGATTGGAACGAAAGGAGGGGTTGCAATCATTTTGACGAGGTTTTTTGCCAGGAAAGTCTTGGACTATTTTTGGGACACGTAGGGAAGGTGGGCCTGGGTATCCATTGAGGAAGGAGGGAGGAAGTTGCTGGTGGCTACTGTGTATGCCCAAGTGGATGTTACTGAGCGTAAGTGGTTCGGGCGGAATTTTGCGGCCTGTATCCCGGATACGGATTCGGTATTACTGATAGGAGATTTTAACACTATCATCCGTTCGGGTATGGACTCGGTTGTTCCAGGAGATCCGAGGCCAGATGCGGAGGCCCTGTGTGGCTTAATGGCCGATAGGGCCTTGGTGGATGTTTTTCGAAGATTCTCCCCGGACGACAGAATCTTCACCTAGTTTGGGACTTCCCCTCTTTTGAGAAGCAGACTAGATATGGCATGGGTGTCGAATAATCTCTTGTTGAATCTGCAGGGATTTGAACAGCAGTTGGTGCCAATATCGGATCATAAGGTGATTACTGTGGCATTGCCATTGCATCCGCGTGTGGCTAGGAGGCCCCCTCCGATGTCTGTCCCGGCCTGGTTGCTGTCAGATACTCTCAATAGGGAACTTGTCCAATAGCATTGGCAACACTGGCTTCCGCTGTGTCCTCCCAATGGGTCGCTGTTAGAACACCTTCAGCACGGGGTTCAGGTCTTGGTCGGCATCTTGAAAAGGAAGGCTAAGGCTTCAAGACAAGCACATGATCAAACAAGTCAGGAATACCTTCGTCGAATGGAGGCCTTAAGGGAGGTCCCACCTCTGGGGGATGAGGATGAATGATGGGCAGAATGGGTTCTCTTGTATGCAGAATGGGCTGATTGGCAAGCTCGGGATGCGGAATTGTGGGGGCTCAGCTCAAAAGTCAAGTGGGTACGGGATGCAGAACGCATGTCAAAGGTTTTTTTTGCCCAGATGAAAAAGAACTCTCACTCGCCGATGATTGTGGCAATGGGTCACCCGTTTGATCCACTTGGGGGTAAAGCGGATAATACTCCTGATATCATTCGATACGTGGAAATGTTTTATGCGAATCTGTACTGTAAGGATGAGCACTAGTCGAAAGAAGAGATGGCGGATGCGCCGGCGGCAGATGTATGGGGTAAGTGTGTCACTAAGGTATCACCGGAGCATAAGGCCTTCTTGGATGCACCCATCTCTCAGGAAGAAGTGGCGGAGGCGTTGTCAGGGATGCATAAGGGTAAGGCGCCAGGACCGGACGGGTTGCCGGCTGAATATTTGATGATTGCGGCACGTCCGCTCATTCCGTTTTTGTGCGAAGCCTTTAATCGTCTCTTCTCAGGCAGGGAGGCCCCCCCAACAGCTTTTGGTCTGGCCACGATTGTTCTCCTATATAAAAAAGGGAGTGTTGAGGAGATTAGGAATTGGAGGCCCATCTCCCTCCTGTCGGCACCGTACAAGTTGTACGCGAAGGTGCTAGCCAATAGGATCGCTGTGGTATTGCCATTTATTGTTCATTCCACTCAGACAGGTTTTGTCCCTCGAAGGCAGATCCTCGTGAATGTTCTTCTGGTGCGCCAAATCATGGATAGGGCCCAGGACCCCGAGTCGCCTCTAGCCATGCTCTTCCTGGACTTTGAAAAAGCTTATGATAGGGTCAGGTAGCCCTTCCTCTTGCAAGGAATGAGGTGTAGAGGCTTTGGGGAAGGCTTTGTTAAGGTTGTCGAGGGAGTACTTGCGATGGCTGGGGCAAGGGTGCAGGTTAATGGTTTTTTGACGCCTCCACTAAGGGTTACGCGCTCTGTGCGACAAGGGTGCCCTCTCTCCCCTGCGTTGTACGTATTGTATGTGGAGCATCTACACGAAATGATTCGTGCAGGTGCTCGGATTTCGGGCTACGAATGGCCTGGAGGGGGCCAGGTCAAGTCTAATGCATTTGCTGACGATACTGCAGCGGTATCACAGGTAACACAACAGAGCATTTCGGCCTTGCGGAGTGAGGTAGCTATGTTTGAGAAGTATGCAGGTGCAAGGATCAATTGGGAGAAGTCGGTGGCAGTGGTCCCGGAGGGGACAGATGGGGGAATTTTTGAAGGGATGACCACGCAGCTGGCTGAAGATCAATTCTTGTACCTCGGTATTTTGGTTCCTGCGGCACTTTCTTCAGGACAGCAGCTAGAAGAAATGTTGCACAAGGCAGTGGTGCGTATGGTGGCCTGGGCAAAGAAGGCCTCGCATGGGGTTTTTGGGAAAGTGCTCATCGCTAATAACGCGGTGTCTGCAAAGCTGTGGTACGCAGGTGCGGTTTCGGACCCTTCCAGAAGGGCCTGGAAGGGCTATAAGCGAGCATTAAGGAAGTTTCTATGGAAAGACGACCCCTGCGCTCCACATCTCATTTATAGGGTGCAGTGGGAGAAGCTGGTGCAGCCTAGGTCGGCTGGGGGAATGGGATTGTTGGACGCCCGCATCCAGGTTTCTGCGCTACAGATGCGAACGGTGTTGTGGCTTCGTTTGGAAGAAGATACGGAGCCCTGGAAACTGGTCACTTTGCGGGAAATGGCAGACGCTATCCGAGTCCACCCGACAGATGTTGAGACCGCTCTTCTTCATCCTCAACTCCTTCGAGGACTTCGGCGGGGGGCGTTGTGGTCGGGAGTGTTGCAAAAATGGCGGGAGGCCCCGCTACGGCCCCACAAACATGTGATCAAATTTTGGGACAGTCTCTTTTTGGGAATCGGTTCATACTCCAGGCAGGTGTCCCATTTACATGGCAAGACTGTTCGGGTGCGTTTGGGAAACAATGGTTGGCATGTGGGGTATATCGGATTGTTGATATATGGGATATAAGGGAGGTAAGTGGAAAGAGGAAGGTGAGGTCCTGCAGCTACTAGAGTATCAACCAAAGAAGAAGGAAAGGCTGGAAGAGATTAAAGAAGCGATTCCGCAGAAATGGATCGATTGCTTGGTAGCCAGGGATCGGCTGCAGGGGGAATGAGTCGCTTTGGGAGGGCAGGATCGCCCAGTGTTTTTTTTTCAACTAAAAGAGAAGTTGGGTTCTCAGTGGTATGGGGCAGAAGCTTGGTAAGTTGTTGGCTAAAAAAAGACGTTGAGTAACGTGCTTGTTCGACGACCGGAGCGGGACGGGAGGCTTCATGAGGAGTGCATTAGATCAGTGGTGGTGCTGAGGGATCAAGTGATAGCAAAGGGGGGAGGATTTCGTGTCTTTAAGCCGGCCTGCACACCGCTTCAGCTCCCATGGGACCCGTGAGGATGGGAATGGGCACCTAGGAACTCGCTCCCGAAGCGGTGCAGAGTTCACCAGGTAACTACGAAAGTGATCTACAGGTCCCTGCTTGTGCCCACGGACATGGTTGAAGAAATGCGGGAAAGGTGGAGGAAGAGGGGATGGTTGGACCAGAAGGTCTTGCTCTGCTGGGAGGATCTGGTTTGGCGGAAGGCCTGTAGGGTATTGGCCCTCCTCCCGGATCAGAAACAAGCAGGGGGCCTGTGGCTTTGCCTCCAGTTGGCGCAGCCCACGTACCAATGGTTGGTAGATAAGTGCTCGCACAAGGACAGGTGTTGTAAGAATTGCCCGGGTGTTGAAGAATCTTTGCCCCATGTATGGGTGGAATGTGCGCCGCAAGTGGCCTTCTGGGAATGGTGGGACTCTCTGGGGGATGCGGTCCCGCTTTCTGGGGTCCTGAGAAGGAATGCCCCGGTTTTAGTAGGGCTTCTCCTTTTGGGCGATGTGACAGGGATGGATGCGGCCTACGCTGCCGATACAGCTCGTGCGGCTTTTTGGGCGGCTGTGCGGGCTTTGCGGCCGAGGTTGTTGCGTGAAGGGGTGCCGGCATCCTTCCCGACACTTCGAGCTTAGACGTTGCGGAATTTGAAAGTGGCGATCTCTGCAGATGTCTCTAGGAGAAGGAGAGGCGGATGGTCTTTCTTTGGCAAGGCTTGGAAACCATACTGTAAGGTGATAACAGGAGGGGAGCAGGTTGGGCAATGGTCTTGGGAGCTTACGTGGGACGACGAGGATAAGGGGGGTTTTGGGGATGGTAAAGGGATTGGTAGGGATAGGTGAGGGTGTGGTGTCATTCGGCTAGGTTAAGTGATGGAATTCTTATGCATAGGTAGACGGGAAGGGATGTATAGGACTACGGATGGGAGGGTTGTGTGAGGACTGATCAATTTTTGGTGGTTAGTTGTGTACTGGGACCTCGCTTGTGCTGGGTTGTGGGTATCCGATGTTTTTCTGAGGGAGGGAGGAGAGGGGAGGGGGAAGGAGGGGGGAAGGGTACGGGGAGAGGGAGCTATTAATAAACAGTGATGAAACAGTGCAAATATGCAAACCATGACTAACCGTAATGAGTTGGAAAGAGAGGGTGTAGCAACAGAAGTAGCTATGATACTAGTAAGGTTAGGTAGTTACCAGGGGGGTGTGAGGTGCAATAAAGGGTGGGTCTAGCACAATTCCTTTGCTTCGTTGGTACGTTCATGACTGGGTGCGTCGTTGCCTCCCGGTGTGGGTACTAGGGATTTTATGGGGATTGTGAGTTCGTCCCCCTTTTTTATTGCCGCTGCCTCCTACTCCCTTATTGGGGCCTGGGGGGATACCCCCTTCCCCCTTCTGATCACGTTCTCTTCTTAAACTCTGTCTTTCTGCTTGCCGGTGATCAGCAACCGGACTGTCGCCCCCCAGAATAGATGGGGCAGCGTGTGTGTTTGGTAAAAAAAACAAACTGCGAATGGCTCATTAAATCAGTTATCATTTATTTGGTGGTCTCCTTACCACTCGGATAACCGTGGTAATTCTAGAGCTAATACGTGCAGCATATCCCKACTTCTGGAAGGGATGTATTTATTGGATACAAGGCCGATCCGGGCTTGCCCATTGCTGCGGCGAATCATGGTGACTTGTCGAATCRCATGGCCTTTGAGCCGGCGATGTTCCATTCAAATTTCTGCCCTATCAAATTTCGATGCTAGGATAGAGGCCTACCATGGTGGTAACGGATGACAGAGAATTAGGTTTCGATTCCGGAGAGGGAGCCTGAGAGATGGCTACCACATCCAAGGAAGGCAGCAGGCGCGTAAATTACCCAATCCTGACATAGGGAGGTAGTGACAAYAAATAACAATACTGGGCTCTTTCGAGTCCRGTAATYGGAATGAGAACAGTCGTAAACTCCTTGAACGAGGATCCATTGGAGGGCAAGTCTGGTGCCAGCAGCCGCGGTAATTCCAGCTCGAATAGCGTATATTTAAGTTCTTGCAGTTAAAAAACTCGTAGTTGGATTTTGGGTGGGAGGGGTTGGTCCGCTCTTGCGGGCGTGTACCGGCCCTTTCGCCTTTCTTGCCGGGTATGCGTTCCTTACCTTTATTGCCTGGGATCCAGAGTCGGCACTGTTACTTTGAAAAAATTAGAGTGTTTAAAGTAGGCCTGTGCCCTGAACATATTAGCATGGAATAACGCGATAGGACTCKGGTCCTATTTCGTTGGTCTTGAAGATTGGAGTAATGATTAATAGAGATAGTTGGGGGCATTCGTATTCCATTGTTAGAGGTGAAATTCTTCGATTTATGGATAACAAACTTCTGCGAAAGCATTTGCCAWGGACGTTCTCATTAATCAAGAACGAAAGTTAGGGAATCGAAGACGATCAGATACCATCCTAGTCTCAACCATAAACGATGCCAACTAGGGATTGGCGGATGTATATTGGATGACTCTGCCAGCACCTTGTGAGAAATCAAAGTTTACGGGTTTCGGGGGGAGTATGGTTGCAAGGCTGAAGCTTAAAGGAATTGACGGAAGGGCACCACCAGGCGTGGAGCCTGCGGCTTAATTTGACTCAACACGGGGAAACTCACCAGGTCCAGACATAGCAAGGATTGACAGATT